ACTCTTCTTTAGACATCCCCTCACCAAAATTGATGTGCATACAACCATGGCAGAGTGTCCAAACTGTGAACAGAGTATTTTAATCAGATTCTACCATGACTCCATTCCCCACAGGTTCAGCTCTTCATCTGGGTTGATCCAGCCTGTTCACTGCTTGATTATGGTGTCAACAAAGAGATAACAGTTGAATGTGTATGGGCTGTTGTCCTACAGAATTAGAAATATAACTTAAACAAAACAGTAAACCAGAATTCATGGTTTCAGGGTTCAAAGGGTGATGAAAAGAGTGGGTTGTTTCAAACAAAATAACATAATATAGTAATTTTTAATTTGTTCTTTAATAAACTACTATAATTTAATGATTTTTTAAAATAAGTTTTTTATTGTGAAAATACTGTACAGAGGGGTTACAGTTACATGAGCAAGGTAATGAGCACATTTCTTATCAAGCATTGTTGCCTCATCCTTTGTTTTTCCCCTACCATCCCTTCCCTTCCACCTCTTCAACTACACACTCCCCACTCCAACCAAATTGTAAAGTTCATTTTTCAACATAGCGTCTTGTTATTGTTCTGGAGATCCAAAATTCAGTACAGATGTTACCAGGCTAAAATCAAAGAGTTGGCAGAGTGGGTTTCTTCTGGGGACTTCAGCATAGAAGCCATTCCCTTACCTTTTCAAGATTCAATTTGTCTATATTTAAATGATTTGGAAACAGAAATAAGGACATTTTGCTATAATGTAAGTTGAATTTTGTTATGAATCATATGGCTACAGCAGTTTTGAGCACACCTAAAATAAAATTAAATTTAGTATCCAGGTTTTCATGTCACATATGCTTATAAGTAAATTGAGTTGACCAGAAGAGTTTATTTATAAATATGAACCCAATAGAGTTGATATATTATTTTCAATAATTTCAATAAAATCATAAATTTCTATGTCTTATAAACTTGTTCTAGGATATTTGAAATATAAACTATATTTGTTGTGCACACATCTGTGTGTATACAGTGCTTGGATACTACACACACACACACACACATACACACACACATACACACATCTTTACACATACACTATCTACCTATTGGCTAAGCTAGTCATTAATATGTATATTTTCTCATATAACAAAGGAGCTAAGGCTAATTTAGGTTGTGACTTTACCATTCAAGGTGCCATACTGACTGTCAAGTTCTCATGATTGTAACTGACTTCACAGTGTCCTTGAACTGTGCCTCATGACAGGGCATTCCTTCAGTGGATAGTCAGGTTCCTTTTTAAAATTTTTAATTTTTTTTGTCAAGGTGATATTCAGAAGGGTTACAGTTACATATGTAAGGCAGTGAATAAACATCTTGTCAAATATTGTTACCCCCTCCCTTGTTTTTCTCCCACTTTTCACCCCTCCAACCCACCCCCCAAGTTGTAAAGTTCATTTTCCACATATTGTCTTGTCAATATCTCTGTTGCATTGGTTCAACTTTTGTCCTCTGTTCCTCTGTCTCACCATTTTGTTGATACCCTACCCTTCCCCAATTCAGGTAAACATATATACAATACTGAGGGTACCAAAATCAGTGACAACAGGGGATAAACCAAAGGAGAAAAAATGAAAGAAAGAGAAAAAATCTTCACTCAGTACATCAAAAACAACAACAACAGGACAGTATATTGAAGACAAACTTTACAACCTCGGACCAGGGTGGGGGGTGGAATGGGAGGGGAAGAGGAAGAGTGGGGGAGGTGGGAGAGGGCAGAGATAGACAACAACAAGGAAGGGAAGGGATAGCAATAATCAACAAGTAATGTATTCATTGCCTTACTCATGTAACTGTAACCTCTCTGTACAGCATCTTAACAATAAAATAAAAATTAAAAAACAACAACAATAAAGAAAAATCTCTTCTTTCCATATCTTGGAGTTCATTTAGCTTAATATCATCTTATACAGTCATACATACATAGGTATAGAGCTATTGTGATCCTCTTCTAGGATGTCCTAGACATACACTAATCATTACAGATGAGGTAAGTCATGGAGTCTATGTTTCTTTGGGTCTAGCTTACATCACTCAATATGATTTTTTCCAAGTCTCCATTTCTTTACAAATGTGATGATGCCATTCTTTCTGATAGAATCATAGAACTCCATTTTGTATATACCACATTTTCTTGAACCATCCATCTAGTGAGGGGCATCTGGGTTGGTTCCATATCTTAGATATGGTTAAATAATACTGCAATGAACATGGTTGTGTTAGTAACTTTAATATGGTCTAGTTTGTGGTCATTTGGGTAAATGCCCAGGAGTGGGATTGATGGGTCATAGGGGAGCACTATGTTTAGTCTTTTGAGGAACATCCATAGTGCTTTCCAGAGTTGTTGAACAAGTTTGTACTCTCATCAACAGTGTAGACAGTATAGTAGAGTTCCTTTTAGGCCACATCCCCATCAGCAACTGTTATTACTAGTTTTTTAGATAATGGCCATTCTAACTGGGGTGAGGTGGAATCTGAATGTTGTTTTGATTTGCATTGCATTTCTTTTATAGCCAGAGATGTTGAACATTTCTTCTTCAGAAAAGTCTCTCTGTAAGTCTTTAGTCCACTTGTTAATGGGACAGTTATTCCTTTCAGGACTTGTTTTTGGGGGAATCTAATTTTTTGAGCTCTAAGTATATATTAGACTTAAGAGAAAGAAATTACCAGAGACATGGAAGGATGCCATACAAGAATCAGAATTATTTTTATATATGTGCCGGTACTCAGGGCCTTGGCACTGAACCTTAACTTTCTTCACTCAAGGCTGGTTATCTACCAATTCTGCCATACCTCTACTTGTAGCTTTTGGGTGGTAATTGGAGAAAATAGTTTCACACGCTTTTCTGGTCTTGAACCTCAGTTCTCAGATCTCAGCCTCCTGAGTAGCTAGGCTTACAGGTATAAGCTGCCAATGCTCACCAGTGATCCAATTCTTGAAATGATGAAACCAAATAACTAGAGAACATATTCAATGATCTCTCTTGAGATAAGAAGAAAATTAGCAGAAGAGGGAAGTTCTTGTGCTTTTCTTTTATTGATGATTAGAGATGGGTCACAGGAGCAATCTTTGTGACACAAGTATGTTGTATCTTGACCATATCACTGTACTGCATCTACATACTAGTTGGGATGATGTACCACTATTTGGTAAAATGTCACTATTAGGGGAAATTGGATAAGTACCATAGAGTTTATCTGTCTTGTTATTGTTTCTTTGAACTGCATGTGGATCTACATCTATTTTAAAAATCTAAAGCTTAATTAAAACAACAACCCCCCTTTTTAATTAAAATTGTTTTTTACAGTGTACCCTGGTTTACTCTCATGAGTTTCAATAAAATGATTTTAGCAATCCATGAAGCTTTGCTGCAGTGAATTCATAGGTGTCATGAGACAAACATATTTCTATGACTTATGTATCTGTAATGTGTACCCTCCTAATGGATTTTCAGTGAAATTTGCACAAATAAGTAATTCCCTCAAGGGACTATATCCCCAAAGATTCTATTCTCATAAATACAGTCATGCTTTTCCTATACAGCTCCTGGGCATATGTTTTTATCATTGACATACATAGATGTACAGGTAATGTTTTCTTTCTTTTCTTTTAATATAAGGATTCTGTTTTTCACTTTTATTAGAAGTTAAGGATTTTTTTGGGGGGTGGGGTTTTGGTCGTGGAGCCTGAACTCTGGGCCTGGGCGCTGTCCCTCAGCTCTTCAGCTCAAGGCTAGCGTTCTACCACTTGAGCCACAGCAACACATCTGGCTTTTTTTCTTTTTGCGTATGTGGTGCTGAGGAATCGAACCCAGGGCCTCATGCATGCAAGGCAAGCGCTCTACCACTGAGCCACCTTCCTATCCCCAGAAATTAAGGTTTTGTTATTTTAAGGTATTAATAGTTTGTTTCCTATCCCGTGTTTTTCTTGATTAGTCATGGTACTTGTTCAGCATAAGCATCTTGTAAATTCTTTTTCTGTGAAACAAAACATGATGGGTATTTAATAGATCACATAAATTGGGCAAGATTCCATAGATGGTCAGTGAGACTCTGGAACTTGACCATAGGCCTCTTTGGCTTCAGAAGTTATAGTATTTGTGCTTAACATGTTGCTTCTACACCATAATGACCTTCCTATTGTAGGGGAGTGTGTGGTTTTGTTTCATATGCATTATATTCATTAAATGGTATGTTTATATTCGTTTAAATTCAATTTTGAGTCGGATAAGTTATTATTTCTGTGCTATGCCAAGGTAAGAAAAGTAGAACTTTTGAGTTCAGGCACATAAATGTAGGATGTTCAGAATAGTGGCTTGCTATTGTTCAGCTAATTTATATATAACAACATTTATTTCTGTTAATTATTAAAAGTCTAACAATGTGTCTGGATGAGTCAGTATCAGTATGTGTGTATAGTGTGTTCTTGTGTGTATATGTGTGAATGTGATGTATTTTTGATTGTGCGTGTGTATGTATATGTATATGTAATTGAGTGAGCCTGCTTGACACTGAATGCTTGCAAGTTGTTCTCTTGTCTTGGTTAATCTTGATTTTTCATGAAACACATAAACCATCACTGTGGTGAACACAGGATTTGAGTGTGTTAAGCTTAAAAAATATTTTTCTTTTTTTCCATACTTCTGGCCATGTATCAATAAGCATTTATATCAAGACATGACATGGACTATTATATTAAAAAATCCCCCCACATGTCCAAATATGTGCCTATGTTTCTGTAATTTATATTATAGAGTTACTGTAGAAAATAAGTGTGCAAGCAATAGTATATTATTTCATTCTTTTTTATGACTGTATACATTTTTATTGTGAAAATACCATACAGAGGAGTTACAATTACATGGGCAAGGTAATGAGTACTTTTCTTAACAAGCATTGTTGCCTATTATTTTATTCTAACACCTGTTTTTCTTTCAATAGATGTAACATTCATTAGCGATGGGGACTGAAAACTATACATCTGTGACAGTTTTTGTTCTTTTGGGATTGACAGAGGACACTACAGCTTGTGCTATTCTATTTATTGTGTTTTGGGGAGTTTATGTCATCACTTTACTGGGCAACATCAGCATAATCACATTAATCAGAAGCAGCCCTCAGCTTCATACTCCAATGTACCTGTTCCTCTGTCACTTGGCTTTTGTAGACATTGGGTACTCCTCCTCAGTCACCCCTGTCATGCTCATGGGCTTCCTTAGCAAAAGGACTTCCATCCCTGTGGCTGGCTGTGTAGCCCAGCTCTCCTCAGTGGTGACATTTGGCACAACTGAGTGCTTCCTGTTAGCTTCCATGGCTTATGATCGTTATGTGGCCATCTGTTCCCCCTGCTCTACTCCAGCCTCATGTCCCCCACTGTCTGCAGTCTCCTAGTGGGGGCTTCCTATCTGGGCGGCAGTATGAATGGTTGGACTTTCGCTGGCTGTTTCTTAAATCTATCTTTCTGTGGACCAAATAAAGTCAATCACTTTTTCTGTGATTATTCTCCTCTTCTGAAGCTTTCCTGTGCTCATGATTATGCTTCTGAAATAGTTCCTGCCATGTCTTCAGGCTCCATCATTGCCGTCACTGTGTTCATCATTGCCCTGTCTTATGTCTACATCCTTGTGTCGATCCTGAAGATGCGCTCCACGGAAGGACGCCACAAGGCCTTCTCCACCTGCACCTCCCACCTCACTGCTGTCACCTTGTTCTTTGGGACTATTACATTCATCTATGTGATGCCCAGGTCCAGCTACTCCACTGACCAGAACAAGGTGATTTCTGTGATCTATACAGTGGTGATTCCCATGCTGAATCCCCTCATCTACAGCCTCAGGAACAAGGATGTTAAAGATGCCATGAAAAAATTATTGGTTAGAGCTCATTGGTAGTTCTGAAATGCCTCACTTAAATCATAAGCTGAATATAATAAGTATTTGACTCATGTGAAATCTTGACCTGAGTTTTTTTTTGCCATAGGTTTCCTATGACCTATTCTGATTCCCAAACACCATCAACCTTTCATTTATTTCTCAGGATATTAAAATTGCATAAAATTCACCATCAAAGTTCATCATGCTTGTGTCTTGCCCTCTACATGAATTTATTCATTTGCATAGTTACAGAGAAACTGAAGAGTTGGATTTAACTGGGATTAAGATTCTGCCAGGTGTTAGGCACTGATGGCCCATGCCTGTATTGCTAGTCTCTCAGGAGGCTGAGATATGAGGGTTGTTATTTGAAGCCAGCCTGGGGAAGGAAAAGTCTGTGAAAATCTTATATACAATGACCTATCAAAAAGCCAGTCCTAAGTTGTAAAGCACCAGTACTTGAACTAAGGAAGACTGCCCAGGCCTTGAGTTCAAGAAAAGGGAAAAGAAAGGATTCTGCCAGAGGATAAAGATAAAAGGAAAGAATAAGGGGTTTGGAAGTATATGGGAATGATCATTATGATTTAGTGTGAAATCTAGTCTTATACATAGGAATGTAGAAACATAAAAAGAATGGTAAGTAGACAGTGGGATCAATATATTTCTGTATGTGATTAAATAATAATTTTTTAACTGGGGTCACTAAAGCTATGAATTCAGTTTCTTTTTATTTATTTATTTATTATTGTGAAAATACCATACAGAGGTGTTACAATTACATGGGCAAGGTAATGAGTACATTTCCTATCAAGCATTGTAGCCTCCTCCTTTATTTCCCCTTCCCATCCCTTCCCATCTCCCACACCCCTCCCCATCCCTCTGTCCCCACGCCACCCCCTCACCCCCAGCCCCCATTGCCAAAGTTGTAAAGTTTGTTTTTCAATATTAATGACTTGTATATCTCATTGTTGCAATGGGTCAACCTGTATCCCTAAACAATTTGTTTTTTCCTTTCCCTCCACAAATTATACCAACATCAAATACAGTGAAAGCAGGGATTATACCATAAGAGAGGGACATACAAAGCAACAAAGAAATCATCTTATAAATACATTAGAAACAATCGCAAGAAAGAAAAATCATTTGAATACTTATCTTGGGGTTCATTTTACCTAACTGAATTCAGTTTCTTACAGATGTCCCAAATTAAATGTGGTATTAGGTACTCACTCCATTCAAATTTGTTTTTAGTACTCTCATTCTATGCTTGACTGAACCTTAGGTTCCTTTGATATCTGAGAGACAGATGAACACTGAGATGGAGAATGAAGGCTCATTATTCATCCATCCATCCATTATCTAATATACATGAACTAAGCATAAACAATGACATCAAGGGACAGATGTTAGGGAAGTGATTGACTATAACCTGGTGTTCAAAGGGATGACATAAAAGTATGAGTGGGAGAAAATATAAGCACTAAAATGTAGACATCCAGACAATACTATGGAGGCACTAAAGATGAATGATTTTGTCTGAAAAGCAATCCTATTAGCAGACTCCAAGCATTCTGTAGAGGTCTTGAGTGGGGTATTTTCCACTTGCATCTCTAGGTTAATTCTTCTTTAGACTGCCCCTCACCAAAATTGATGTGTATACCACCATGGCAGAGTGTCCAAACTGTCAGCAGAATATTTCAGTGAGATCCTACCATGATTCCATTCTCCACAGGTCCAAGTAGTCATCTGATAACAGGTTGATCCAGCCTGTTGATTGCTTGGTTATGACATCAACTGAGAGATGACAGTTGCATGTTGTATGGGTTGTTGTTCTACAGAATTATAAATATATCTTGAACAAAGCTCAACCAAAGTTCATGGTTTCAGGTTCCAAAGGGTAGAGGAAGGAGTGGATTGTTTAAAACTAAATAATAAAATATAGTAATTTTCTATTGGTGCTTTAATAGTCTAGTATAATTCAATGACTTGTAATAATAGTAACATATTACCTTATTGCTCTGGAGATACAAAATTCAATAGATCTTACTAGGATAAAATCAAGGCATTGGCAAGGTGGGTTCCTTCTGGGGACTTTAGGAGAGAAGAACTTCCCTTGCCTTTTCAAGACTTAACTAAGCCAACAATGTTGATTGGTTTGAGTTTTTCTTTATTTTCAAAGCCAGAAAAGTTATCTTCTCTTGATTGACACTTTCCATCAGCTTCTTCCACTTTTAAGGGCACTATGATTATATTCAGTCCATGTAGATAATATATATTTTTTCAGTTAAATGGAAATCATAATCTCATCTGTAAACTTAATCCCTGTCTCCTAGTAAAGTAGCATGTTTTTCAGTTAATGGACATATTTGGAAATCTTTGGAGAAAGATGTAATTATGATTATCAATTTCACTAAAGGACATTTTATGTGTGTGTGTGCATGTGCGTGTGTGCGTGCACCATCCCAATCCTGGGTGCTTTAACTCAGGGTCTGGACACTGTCCCTGACCTTTGTGGCTCTACCACTTGAGCCACAGCTTGACTTCAGAATTCTCAGTGGCTAATAGGAGATAAGACTTTCACGGCCTTTCCTACCCCTGGCTGGCTTCAGCTCACAACTTCACAACTCAGTCTGCTGAGTAGCTAAGATGATAGGTGTGATCCAAGTCATGCCTGGCAGGACATTTTACCTTCTAGAGATTGTGATTTTTGTCTGTTTACTTCTGCCACTTATTAGTAATTAAAGATAAGCAATAGTTATGCATTTTACTTAAAATTTATTCAACATAAAATGCACAAATCTTAAGTGCATAAGTTTTAACTCCTAAAAAAACTGTAGACACCTATGTTTGTCTACCGTGATGAAGAATATTACTATCCACTGAGAAATTTCCCTAAAGTTTTTCTAGTTCTATTTGCTCAATCACATCCTACAGAGACAGGCATTAATTCAATTTTCCACTATGAGTCAGTCAGTGTGTCTTTTTTATGGTAGCATTTCTCTCAGCTGACATATTTTTAAAATTTATATTTTCATTTTCTTTAAGTACTTATACATAGGAGTTGCCATTTAGCAATCAGTTTATGAATACAATGCATCTTGATCAAATGCCACTCTTTCATTATTCTCTTCCTGCTCTTTTATACCCACCCTTTCCCTCACTCTTCCTAATTTTTTAGGATATATATTGGACTGAACTATATTCTCCTCTTCTTTTACTCTTCATGTGCCTACCCTTTATCCCTTGGTTCCACCCCCCCCCTTTCAAGTACCCACTTCTCGGTGTTTTATTTAGCTGAATGTTGACTTTGCTTTTCTAATGAAGTACACTATTTGAATTCTCCTTTGAACCTATTGTATTTCAGTTAATACATTTGTATGTACTTGCAAACCACCAAACATATTTACTTATTAATTTATAAGCTAAATTTAGGTTCCACTTATAAGTGAAACCTGTATACTTTATCTCTCTGATCCTAGCTTTTGAAATCAGTACAAATTGTGGTATGCTTTGATAACTTACTATCTTTGTGGCTGAATTGTATTTCATTCTGTGAATATAACCTGAGTGTGTTGCCATTCTTTGATGAATGAAAATTTATTTTGTGACTAAAAGCAAAGCTGACATTAGAGTAGAGATGAATGAAAAAAAAATCAGCAAAGAATGTCAATAAACCTGAAGGTGTTTCTTTGAGATGACCAACAAAAATGTATAAATCTAAAGCTAGATTTGTGTGTGTGCTTTGCCCTTTTCTTAATTGCAACAATCTTCCCCCCTCTACTATTTTTTTCTTTCATCCTTTCTTCTTTTTCAGAATATGTTTTTCTTTTGAGAAGGGAACTGATGTTATGACAATATAATGTTTCAAAATCGGGGCTGGGAAAGGTGGCTCAGTGGTAGAGTGCTTGCCATTCATGCAAGAAGCCCTGGGTTCGATTCCTCAGCACCACATAGGCAAAAAGAAAAAAAGCTGGAAGTGGCGCTGTGGCTCAAGTGGTAGAGCGCTAGCCTTGAGCTGAAGAGCTGAGAGACAGTGCCCAGGCCCAGGGTTCAGGCCCCATGACCACAGAACCAAAAAAAAATAATAAAAAATAATGTTTCAAAATCATGTTTTGATATGTTTATTATATACATTTATATGTGAGCTTCTGTACTGATGTACATGCATATACATGCAGATATGCAAATGGATTCATAGTGATATTTCATCTGGGTTTGTGACAGGAAAAGAGTGGGATTAGGATGTATAAGGCAATGGGAGAGTTCCAGGAAGATGGTGGAGGAGAAGCTGGAATCTGAACAAGCTCTCGCATAGAAAGCAGTTTTAGAGTTCCAGTGAACAGTCCTAAGCCAGAGAATCACACCAAGTGTGCCATTACAAGACAGAGATTTAGACAAGAGAGGGAAGCCAAGGCAAAAAGACACATCTGAGCGCTCGCCAGCAGCCGCCGCGGCGGTGGCGGCGGCAGCGGCAACGGCGGCGGCAGGGTTGCAAGCAGCAGAGAACGCAGCCGGGGCCATACCTGAGTGCTCACACAGAGAGTCCATGACGAAGGAGCCAGGTGCAGCGGACGAGCTGATTATATTCAACACCAGCAAGAACCAACAAGGAGCGGACATCTTCATCCTGCAGTTTGCAGACCAGAGACGACCCAGGATGCAAGACTCGGCGTGAGTAGAAAGCCCGACATCCTCACTCCTTCTCAGGGAGCAGAGGAGGGAAGGCCACCCCTCTCCCCCCAGCACCGGTGATCTCCATCTTGGATACCGACAAAGCTCGGAGGAGCTGCCAGCTCCAACCCAGGCCTTGGAATAAAATGAGTCATTTAGCAGGTCACAAGAACTTAACGGCGAAGTGATCTGCCAGACTCGGCTCTATCCAGGGAAAAGTCACCCAGCTCAGGCGCCAGCCATTGGAGTGGCTTTCCTCACTGGGTAACCAGAGCCAGAGGCTGCCCCTCCCTCTAGCAGCCTCCACAATCAATTGAAAAACAGAATCGCTGAGAATGGCTCCAGGCTGG